AATATTGAAATGAAATAAATGATAACGCCCATGTTATGTGTCATGAGAGCTAGGGGTATAGTTGGCATGCCAAGAGTCGAGGGTTTACGCGGTCCTTCGGGATATATATATATTCTTTGGAACATGTGTGAAGTCTGGTGAGACACATATATGATCCCTAGCATATGTATATGATTCTTAAGGAATTCTATGTGGTCCTTATGGACATCATTATATGGCACTACGGTGCAATTCTACGCGGTCCTTCGGGATATATATATATTCTGTGGAACATGTGTGAAGTCTTGAAAGACACATACTTGATCCCTAGCATATGTATATGATTCTTAAGGAATTCTATGTGGTCCTTATGGACATTATTATATGGCACTACGGTGCAATTCTACGCGACACTTCGGTGCAATTATACGAGCTGTGGTGACAGCATTAGTGCACAACCTCTATAGACTCGCATATCGATAGTTCTCACATACGTACATGGGCTAATCCAGAGATATGAACAAATATAAGTTAGTGGTAGGATAAATGCTATAGAAATGATATGATGTTGTGTGTGTATAGTGTTTGATTGAAAAAGTATGTGATTATATGATAAACTGTTAATGATGAATTATATGTATATATGTATTTACTGCAATTAATCTGATATGATTTTATACGATAGGAAAAATGCATGGAATTACTATAACATGATAGAACAGAACATGCATGTATCGATATATGTTTAAAGTGCATTATAAGTTGTTATGCCTCACTAAGTCTTCGACTTAGCGTGTGATTGTTTCACACGTAGGTTTCGAGAAGAGTAAAGAGTGATACGGAGCAAGACATGTCAGTTTTCCTTACCAAAAGATCAGATCAGAAATATTTGACAAAGTATGTATTTGGTTATGTATAAAGTGTTGGCATGTAATAAGTCATTAAGTACGAGCACTCTGATAAAGTCTGTATTTTGTTTTAAATAAAGTTTTAAATTTCCCGGGATTTTTCTTAAGAGTCAAGGTTTTAAAAGTCAATGTGACACTTCGGACTCGTATCCGGGTCGGATACGGGTTGGGGGTGTTACATGAAACATGTCTCATATTAAAAGTGATAACATGATACAAATCACATGTCAAGAAGTGATGACATGACATATGTCGAAAGTGGTGACATGATAGTCTCACCCACCATTAAGTACTTACTATTAATCAAACAACTTTTTCATCTAACTCATGAATAATTTTACCTGAAAATAAAACATCATATGATTAAAGTGATTTTTTTTATCAAACGTTAAGGACATTTTTAGATATTATGTCAAATTGAGAATACCATGAACAGAAGAAAATCCAATATTTCAACATGAAAAATGTTGCAAAAATTGAGGTTAGAAATATTCACGGGCAGTTAATTGTACCAGAATGAGTTGTCGATATGGTTACCGAAAATCTCAATTTGATATTTTGATGAACCATAATACCAATACAAATAAATTAAAATAGAGTGTTTGATATTTATAATCGAAACGACAATAATACAATGAGAAAATAACCTCAGTGATCGAAAATCTCTTATAATATACGATTTTAACCAATTTTTTTTGGATTTTCCAAAATGACCAACAAAATCGCAATGCGATCTCTAAATCGTAACGCGATTTCCAGTATCGCAAATAAATTTTCAGATTCGCAACGCGAATTTGGAAAATCATAATGCGATAGTCCAAATTCGCGTTGCGATAGTCCGAATTCGCGTTACGATAGCACTGTTTACCGTTGCGATAGCACTGCTTACCGTTGCGATAGCACTGTTCACCATTGCGATAGCACTGTTCACATTGCGAATTTGCGATAGTATTGTTGTTTCCTGTCCAGAATGATGCAAAAAAACTTTAAACTTGGGATTTTTTTTGTTTGAATTCTCTTTATAAGGTTTTATGATAGAATATAATTTTTTTTTAAAAAAAAATAAATTTTATAATGTTTATTTATGATAAACTATAAATTTTAAATAATATAAAATTAAATAAATATAAATTCTAAATTATTTATGATAGAATAGAATATAATTATTTATTTATATTTAATCTCTTAATTTTCTTTCTTTTAATTCCCAGATTCTTCAGCTGCATCTAAAGGTATTAATTGTACCTTGTACTTCTTCCCTCAAATGCCAAGTTTTTCTACTCTTGTTAATGGCATTTTCTTAAACTCTGTCTTAATGGTTTCCAGCAACTAGCAGTGCTATCGCAAAAAAAATCATTGTTGTTTCCTGTCCAGAAGGATGTAAAAAAGCTTCAAACTTGAGATTTTTTTTGTTTGAATTCTCTTTATAAGGTTTTATGATAGAATATAATTTTTTAAAAAATAAAAATAAATTTATAATGTTTATTTATGATAAACTATAAATTTTAAATAATATAAAATTAAATAAATATAAATTCTAAATTATTTATGATAGAATAAAATAAAATTAAACAAAATCCTAAGTTTGAAGCTTTTTTGCATCCTTCTGGACAGGAAACAACAAAAAAATTATAAAATGTGAACAGTGCTATCGCAACGGTGAACAGTGCTATCGCAACGGTGAACAGTGCTGTCGCAACGGTGAACAGTGTTATCGCAATGATTTTGGACTATCGCAACGCGAATTCGGACTATCACATTGCGATAGTAAGAATCGCATTGCGATTTTCCAAATTCGCGTTGCGAATCTGAAAACTTATTTGCGATACTGGAGATCGTGTTGCGATTTAGAGATCGCATTGCGATTTTGTTGGTCATTTTGGCAAATCCAAAAAAAATTAGTTAAAATCGTATATTATAAAGGATTTTCGGTCTCTGAGGTTATTTTCTCTAATACAATAATGAAGATTTGGTCAGTTGGGCACTAAAGCAAAAGATTGCCCAACAATCTCTTTCTCCAAGTAGTCAATAGGTAGGAATTAAGAAATGGGATCATTTGAAGGCTACAACAGTAGAACACCATTGTTAAAAGTTGGAAGTAATTAAAAAGTTCAAACATATGCAATTAAAAACACATGTAAAATTAGAAAAGCATTAGATTCACCTTCACGACATCATAAATTCCCATTCTAAAACTAGAAAAACATGCACTGCATCATAATTTCCCATGCTAGACTACATCTACGGTCAATTAAAATTTATGAAATTAGAAAAACAAGTAAAATTAGAAAACTGATTCATTTCTCATGTTAGAACAAGCTAAGCTTATACATTATAAACTTCAAACTAAGTTTATATATAAAGATGCATGAAAATTCATGAACTAGAAATGGCATGATGTTATAGTTCATCTCCTTTGAAAACTAAGCTTGTCCGTACAATGTATAAAAGTAGAGGCAAAAAAAAATTGCTTAAGCAAATAGTAAAATAGCTATAAGGGCAAATCCTTAGTAGGTTTAAAGCCATAGTGGCTTTCTAAGAAGGCACTGATAGTTTTGCGCTCTCCAAATGCTATGATTTCCTTGTTTATATCTCCATATTGGGAAGTGATGAGACCTCTCAATGTCCAAGAATTTGGAACCATCCAATAAACCAAACCCACCATTTAGAAATTGCCTGAAAATCTCAATTTTATCATGTATCAAAAACAGACGTCTAATATTCTTATTTACATATAAGAAAAAGAAGTGTAGCTTTAGGCAGCAAAGATATGGAGTAGGCTTACAGGTTGTGGTATGAAAAAAACCAGAAAACAAGTTCGCAAAGGAGATACAATAACTCCCATTTATTGCGGCCATTTGGTAAGTTTTAGATAAAGAAACAATGGCCATGCCCATGTATTTGTATGTGAGCAATGTTCAAAAAGTACTGTCATAGATATACCATGACATTTTGGAAGCTGATTCATACAAGTTTGATTGCTAGATACGAAGGATCAAGAACAAAGCTGTTTAAAGGAATATATACGGTATTTCAACTATAACCTGCAATTACAGAAGTGATTGTTTGTTATTGGCCTGTTAGAAACACGAAACAAGTGTGATGGAAGAGTAGTTTTGGATGAGTACATTCCGGCAAACCTTTCTCGGTACACGATTGTCCGTTGACTAATTATGATCGGAAGAATTGAAAGCAAGTGGCTTGCTCCAGTGGAAACCATGAAAACATATACTGATCCCATTATGTTGAACAAGTACTGCTCATTATCGCTTCATGAAAGATGATCATGATTTCGGGACAATGGCATATGTGAATGGCAAAAAAGAAAGAAAATTTTAAGGAAACATCTTACACTTTTTGCCCCTTGTCCCAAAGAAGCGCTCCATATAACAAAGACAATACCATGGCTAAAACCATGAGCCCTAAGTTATAAGTTGGGTTTCTCCAATAAGACAAGTGTTGCTTCCATAGGCATCCTTTGAATTGCTCCCATCTATTTTGTGGAAAGCGTGTCGTAAAAAGTACTTCCTTTGAACCGTGTGCTGCAACTCTAAGTTCTTGGACTAGTTCTTTGTTTCTTCTGCAAAAAAAAATATCTAATATTACGCAACAGAAATATATTATTTCTAAGCTCTTTTATATCAATCGTGGTGACTTAGTGATGACAACAACCTATTGAAGGGAGCGAGTAAACCATCCAAGAGCGTGTATTTGATTAAATTGAAGCCCCGAATCAAAATTTCTGCAGCAATACCCTTTTTGATGGTATTCAATCATCAATGTACATCACCTTGTAGGAGAGATGTCGTACACATCAAACTCTCCTTGGTAGAGCATGTTATTTTCTCGATGAAATCGAGTCATTTTAAAAATATTAGCTCAGACCTAAAGGAGTTTTGGTGTCTATAATATATTCAAGGAATAATAATAAACTCAGCAAGAATCAATTGAAATTTTTTTCACGAAAGTGTTCACAATTTTTAATACTATATAAATATCTTCTTATTTATTATTACTAATCTCAGCAGTACTTTTCCATTCATCCAACCGTAATGTCTTGTAAAACTAAAAAAGTTTTACATTGAATAAATAGATCCTAACCCATATTAAATTATTGTCCGAAGCTCAGACCAGAACCCTAAAATTTCAAGGTTGTAATACGATCCAACTTTTCTTTCATCTCATCAGTGAATTGGTTCTTCCAGTCCCCAACAGTGCCACTCCTGAAATAATGCTTGTAGTTAATGCCTACCCAAGGGTCGACGCCATGTTGGTTCACCTCCAGGCTCTTAAGCCTTTCAAGGCTGCATCTCCACAACACTTTGTCCACCTCTTCTTCCTTGTGGAAAGGCCTTTGGAGGAAACAAGCCAGCTTCCTCAGTTGCTCCTTGGGCTCATTCTTCATGTCTTCATATCTCATGAAATGTATCTTCTCGGGTCTCTTTATACTCTCTTTCCAATAACCCAAAACATGGTCATGGAACGGCCCAAAAGCATGAATCCCTCTGCAAAAGCTCTCGAAAGCTTCATCCATTGGCCATGGATCTATTCCTCTATCAGCAATCACAGAGTTCATAAAGTGACAGCACGACGTAAACGTGTCCTTAGGGTCTCGACTAATGTAAACAATCTTGCAGGCAGAGCTTTTAATAGACTCATATAACATAGGGTAAGGCACATGGGTTCGAAATAGTCTGGGAGGAGGCATATCTGAGAGATTAGGGTTTCGGTTTACCTTGAAAATCTGAATTTTCAGAGATGGCATCAGCTCATTAGGATGGTGGTTGAGCAAAGGGTCGTCTTCATAAGGATTCATGATTGTGGGGATGATAGCCTTGAGCCATGTGGTGCTTGTCTTCATAGAAGACGCCAAAAATACATCGGAATCATTTGCTTGGAAGCTTGATCTTGCAGCCATGGCAGCAGAAAGGTGATGAGCCCTATACCAGAAGCCTTCCCAGTTGTAAGCATCCGAACCATGTTGGATCATAAACTTGATCCATTATGGGAGCCTAAACCCAAACCCAAACTAAATTGATGTCATTACTTACATCATTTAATTAAAGATGTCACTGCTTACATCATTTAAGTAATGATGTCATTGCTTACATCAATTTAGTTAGGTGAGAGTTAGATATTTGTTGAATTTGTAATGGTTTAAATTAGTTTATTTGTGTGGTGTAGGATTGTTCTTGAGTAGTATAAATACCCCTTCCCATTTTAGTTTTAAGCATCAAGAAAAATTAAGAGCTTCTAAGTGAGTGAAGAAGCAAAGTCCTATAAGAGTAAGTTGTAGTTCTTGTTTTTGAGTGAGAGTGCTCTTGTAATATTTGTTTGAGTTTCAATAAAAGTTGTTTGTGTGAGTGTTTTATTTCTAACAAAGTGGCATCAGAGCGAGTTGGAAAGATCGAAGGTCTCGACGAGAGGAATCCGACGCCGCCAGAATTTTCTCAATCTGAGTTCTGACGCACCGCTGGAAGACTGCTGCCAGAAAATCGAGTTGACTCACCGAGTTGAGCCGAGTCAGCCGAGTTGGAGCCCTTGACCGAGTTGTCCAAGTCCCTCCAAAGTTTTTTTCAGCGTTCCGGATTCATCCGTGCAATCGGATTTTACAAAATCTCATTATATTGAGAGATATGGCAAATGGTATGGCACCATTCCAAGTTCCGACACTCAACAACAAAAACTACGACAATTGGAGTATCAAAATGAATGCACTTATTGGAACACAAGATGTGTGGGATATCATAGAGAAAGGCTATAACGAGCCTGTGGATGATGATGCTTTTGCTACTCTTACACCAGATCAAAAGACAACTTTGAAGGATTCAAGAAAGAGAGACAAGAAGGCTCTCTACCTCATCTATTAAGCATTAGATGATGATGGTTTTGAAAATATTTCAAGTGCAAGCTCTAGCAAGGAAGCGTGGGAGAAGCTGCAAACCTCTTATAAAGGATCCGAGCAATTGAAGAAGGTTCGTCTCCAAACATTAAGAGGTGAATTCGAATCCTTAAACATGAAAGCATCTGAGTCTATTTCAGATTTAAAAAGAAATGGTGAAAAGTTAGACGATGTGAGGATAATAGAGAAGATACTCCGTTCGTTGGATCCCAAATTTGAGCACATCGTCGTGACGATTGAAGAAACTAAAGACTTGGAAGAAATGACGATCGAGCAACTCCAAGGATCATTGCAAGCATACGAAGAGAAGCATAAGAAGAAACATGAGTTTACTGAGCAACTCCTCATGCTGCAACTCAAAGATATGCATGAAAGCCAACGCAATGATAGAAACCAACGTGGCCAAGGCAGAGGTAAAGGCCATGGACGAGGTCGTGGACGAGGCTGGAATTACAACAACAACAATTCCAACAACAACTATGAGAAAGGAGAAAGCTCAACACGAGGCCGTGGAAGAATCAATCTGAATTCAAGGCATGACAAATCTCAAGTTCGATGTTATAATTGTCAAAAGTTTGGGCATTATGCTTCAGAATGTAGAGCTCCCAAAAATAAAATTGAGGAAAAGGCTAACTACGTGGAGGAAAAGACAGATAGCAAAGAAACTCTTCTTCTAGCACGAAAGGAAACTGATGGTGGCCAAGCAAATTCCTGGTATCTTGACAGTGGTGCAAGCAATCACATGTGTGGAAGGAAAGACATGTTCGTGGAGCTAGACGAGTCAGTAAGCGGAAATGTTTCGTTTGGAGATGATTCCACAATAGCAGTGAAAGGGAGAGGTAACATTCTTATCCGTTTGAAAGATGGGAGGCATCAATTTATTTCAAATGTCTACTATGTGCCCAATATGAAAAGTAACATCTTAAGTTTAGGGCAACTGGTAGAGAAAGGTTATGATATTCACATGAATAATTATAATCTTTCTATAAAAGATGATAAGAATAACTTCATTGCTAAAGTGTCGATGTCAAAGAATAGAATGTTCTTGATCAACATACAAAATGATGTTGCAAAGTGCCTGAAAGCTTGCTATAAAGATGCATCATGGCTTTGGCATATTCGATTTCAATTTTGGAGGTCTAGAGCTGCTATCTAAGAAGGAGATGGTGAAGGGACTACCTCACATCAACCATCCTAACCAGCTTTGTGAAGGGTGTCTAGCTGGGAAACAATTCAGGAAAAGCTTTCCAAAGGAGTCAGAGACAAGAGCCAAGAAGCCACTCGAGCTCATCCATACCGATGTGTGTGGACCGATCAAGCCAAGCTCTCTCGGTAACAGTAACTATTTTCTTCTCTTCATTGATGATTTTTCAAGAAAAACCTGTGTATATTTCTTGAAACAGAAGTCAGAAGTTTTTGAAGTCTTCAAGAAGTTCAAAGCAGTAGTGGAGAGAGAAAGCGGTAGAAAGATTAAAGCCATGAGATCTGATCGAGGTGGAGAATTTACTTCCAGGGAGTTTCAAGAGTTCTGTGAAGCAAATGGAATTCGTCGACCAATGACAGTTCCTAGATCCCCCCAGTAAAATGGTGTGGCAGAAGGAAAGAACAGAACAATCCTCGACATGGCACGGAACATGCTCAAAAGCAAGAAACTACCTAAGGAATTTTGGGCGGAGGCAATAGCGTGTGCAGTCTACTTGACAAACCGATCTCCAATAAGAAGTGTATGAGAAAGACACCACAAGAAGCATGGAGTGGAAGAAAGCCTAGCATTTCCCATTTGAGAACCTTTGGAAGTATAGCCCATGTTCACGTACCAGACGAGAGAAGAACGAAGCTTGATGATAAAAGCGAGAGTTTTATCTTCATCGGCTATGATGCTAATTCGAAGGGCTACAAGTTGTACAATCCAAACAATAAGAAGTTTGTGATTAGTCGAGATGTGGACTTCAACGAAGAAGGAGAATGAGATTTTAACTCTCATACAGATGACTTCAATTTCTTTCCTCAGTTTGAATAAGATGAGCAGACAATGAGGGAATAACTAGATGAATCTCAATAAGAGTTTGCAACTCCACCCACTTCACCAACATCAACCACTCAAGGAGACTCATCACCTTCGTCATCGTCAAGTGGGAGTCAAAGTGAAAGAGTTGTGCAACGCACAAGAAGCCTTAGAGATCTCTATGAGGTAACTGAACGACAAGATAATCTTACATTATTTTGTCTGTTTGCCGATTGTGAACCAGTGAGCTTTCAAGAAGCGGTACAAGAAAAGAAATAGAGAGATGCGATGGATGAAGAAATCAAGGCCATCGAGAAGAATGACACATGGGAACTTACCTCACTTCCCAAGGGACATAAGGCGATAGGTGTCAAATGGGTGTACAAAACAAAGCAAAATGCCAAAGGAGAGATTGAAAGGCACAAGGCGAGGCTAGTTGCTAAAGGCTATAGTCAAAAGACTGGAATTGACTATGATGGGGTATTTACTCCTGTTGCTCGATTGGAGACTATCAGACTAATCATTTCTTTGGCAGCTCAAAACAAGTGGAAGATACAACAGATGGATATAAAGTCCGCCTTCCTAAATGGAGTTCTTGAAGAGGAAGTTTACATTCAGCAACCATCAGGTTATGAAGTCAAAGGGAACGAAGACAAGGTGTTAAAGTTGAAGAAGGCTCTTTACGGGCTAAAACAAGCACCAAGGGCATGGAATAGCCGAATCGACAAGTACTTCCAAGAGAATGGCTTCAACATATGTCCCTACGAGCATGCTCTATATATCAAGATGAAGATATTTTGATCGTGTGTCTCTATGTGGACGATTTGATCTTCACTGGAAGCAACCCAAGCATGTTTAATAAATTCAAGGATGTGATGATGAAAGAATTCGAGATGACATACATGGGGCTTATGGCGTACTACCTTGGCATCGAAGTTAAGCAACAAAATGATGGAATTTTCATTTCACAGGAAAGCTATGCAAAGGAGATACTGAAGAAGTTCAAGATGGAGAACTGTAAACCAATAAGCACACCGGCAGAATACGGGATCAAGATGACCAAACATGAAGAAGACAAAAGTGTAGATCCAACATTCTTCAAAAGTTTGGTAGGAAGTCTACGCTATCTAACTTGCACGAGACCCGATATTCTTCACGCAGTTGGATTGGTTAGTCTCTATATGGAATCTCCAACAACCACCCATTTTAAAGCCACAAAGAGAATTCTTCGTTATCTGAAAGGTACAATTGACTTTGGCTTGTTCTATTCAGTTTCTAACTATTACAAGCTTGTTGGATATAGCGACAGTGATTGGAGTGGAGACATAGATAGTCGAAAGAGCACTACTGGATTCATATTTTTCATGGGAGATATTGCGTTCACATGGATGTCAAAGAAACAACCGATTGTCACATTGTCCACTTGTGAAGTGGAATATGTTGCTGCTACCTCATGTGTTTGTCATGCAATTTGGCTTAGAAATCTATTGAAGGAGATAGGTTTGATACAAGAAGAGCCTACCAAGGTTTGTGTCGACAACAAGTCAGCCATTGCCTTAGCGAAGAATCCAGTATTCCATGATCGAAGCAAGCACATTGATATTCGCTACCACTATATAAGGGAGTGTGTTGCAAGAAAAGATGTGGAAGTTGAATACGTGAAGTCACAAGATCAAGTTGCTGATATTTTTACCAAGCCACTGACCAGCGAAGACTTTTTAAGATTAAGGAACCAACTAGGGGTCACGAGATCAAGTTTAAGGGGGGTGTTGGATCATAAACTTGATCCATTATGGGAGCCTAAACCCAAACCCAAACTAAATTGATGTCATTACTTACATCATTTAATTAAAGATGTCATTGCTTACATCATTTAAGTAATGATGTCATTACTTACATCAATTTAGTTAGGTGAGAGTTAGATATTTGTTGAATTTGTAATGGTTTAAATTAGTTTATTTGTGTGGTGTAGGATTATTCTTGAGTAGTATAAATACCCATTCCCATTTTAGTTTTAAGCATCAAGAAAAATTAAGAGCTTCTAAGTGAGTGAAGAAGCAAAGTCCTATAAGAGTAAGTTGTAGTTCTTGTTTTTGAGTGAGAGTGCTCTTGTAATATTTGTTTGAGTTTCAATAAAAGTTGTTTGTGTGAGTGTTTTATTTCCAACAAACCATACCATGTTTCTTTAGGGACTTCATCGAGCAAAGTCGAAAATGAATCTGGAAAGCCCAACTCCATTAGTACCTAAAAGATGTTTTCAGAAATAAACAAACCTGCTTTGCTTGCTTGCGGCCAACTAAGAGGTCAAGCAAATACTAACTATATTATCCTTGGAGAGTACGACCATAAAACATCTTCGGCTTTTGATTTTTTGGGTAATTTATATGTATGATCACTAAAATATTGTCTTTTACTTTATCATCAATTTTGAAATTTTATCAATCAAACCATCTAATTATTTAAATGGTTTAATAAAATCTCTTGTCTTGTCGTTAATATTTGCATGTTTCATCAATTAGGTCATAATTTTAAGGGTATACTACACGGGTGATCATTCAACTATTATCCAATTTCATTTTGACCATCCATATTTCAATTTCATGAATCATACCACCTAATTATTTAAATGTTTCAATCGGGCCACTAGTTGTTAACATTTAAAAGAGATGGAGATGTAGCAGTTAACAAAATTAGCATAATTATACATTTGATCCTCAATAATTAATATTTATCAATTTACTCTTCACTTTAATTCAATTAAATAAATTTAATATTCAATTAGATGATGACATATGTAATCACACGATTAAAGAGTATTTCATTAATTATAATTATTTTATTTCCCATCCAATCAGATCATCACCTCATTAAGTGGAGAAAATAATTTTTAGAAAATTAGGAATTAAACTTGTAATTACATCAAGTTTTTTAATTGTCACGTCACTTCTTGCGTTAAATACTAACGACAATGGTTTAATTGAAACATTGTATGATTGATTAAATTGAAACATTGGTGGTCAAAATGAAATTTGGCAATAGTTAAGTGTCACCTGTTAGTTTACCCATAAACTTAATAAATTTTCTAATCATTCAAGCTGTGAAATGTGTGTCGCTGCCTTATTGGTAAGGAAAACTGGTAGAAAGAGAAAAAAAAACGTGGGGATTGAACTTAGATCAAGGGAAAACTTATCTACAAGTCAACCATTGTTGCAAAATAATTTATATAAAAGATTAGGTCTGCGCCATTTTTGAAGAGCTTCTTTTCTTATGAGTTAAATTTACATTGACTTGTTCATGGATGAATTTTATGTATTCAATGGCTTCCGACTTCTGAGAGTACTGAGGCTGTATCAGTCTACATATAATTAAAATTAAAATTAAAATTAAAATAAACTATTTGAATGACCACCCAACTATAAAGTTAGTATTAAAATGACTACTATTTTTAAATTTGTATCAATATGATCATTGAACTATTTAAATAGTTTCAGTATATCCACTAGCTATTATTATTTAACGAAAGTAATGCTGAGTTTAATTATATATTTTGATCCTCAATACTTATACATTCTCTCAATTTGTGACACATGTCACCACTTGATTAGAAGATTTTTTTTTAATTTTAATTAAATTAGTTTAATAAATTTTCAATCCAATCCAAATGTGACACGTGTCATCTTAGGAATTGAAGAGAAAATAATTTAAAATGGGTATGACCCTAGGGGGATTCAAACCCAAGTGTTAAAGGAAAACATCTATGCACCTTAACCGCTAAACCACACGACATGTTTGATAAAAAGTAAAAACATGTATTATATATCTTGTTGAAGTTAAAGGCAGAAAAAAAAAAACTAAATTTGTTTAAATTAGATATGAAACCAAGACCATGTTGGAGACCAAACAAATTTTAACCGTTAGACTAAATCAAATATTCATAAATTAGTTGTAACATTTTATATATATCATATATTATAATTAATGACATGAAAAAATAGAATAGTGAGAAGTTAAATATGGGTCAATTAAGAATAAGATAGCGCTTAAATCACTAAAAATCCAATAGATTTTTTTATAATTGATATTAGATTTTAATATTTTTATATTAAATTTTAAATATAATTTCATATAAATAATCATTAACAATAAATATGAAAAAGTAAATTTAATTTAAAAATCTTAAAATCTTAAATCAATTATAAATAATCCATTAAAATCTTCAGTTCACAGCTTATGGCTCTCCTGGAAAACAGCCGAACTATATAAGGCTGAATCCATTGAAGACCTTGCTACTGCTGCCGTTTTGATATCAGCCATTGGATTGCTCCAACCAAAGCTTCCCAAGCTATTGTCTAACCCGGAAGAAAAAGAGCAGAGCTCTTCGCAAATGGTGCAGACTTAATCTTTTATATAAAAGTACTACTAAATAGATAAAATATATAAATATTAAAGACTAAATGTATAATTATGCCAATTTGTTAACTGTCAATCACTTCTACATTGAAACATTAACGAGAAATGGTTTGTTGAACCGTTTGCATAATTAGGAGGTCTAACATATAAAATTTCAAAATAGATAATCAAAATGGAAAAGGATAATAATTTACCTCTTATTTTCATCTGTAATTGTTTACCGTCAATATTGATCACGTGTGTTGATATTTTTTATGCTGAATATGTATTTTCAACAAATATCTTGCCTGGTTACACACAAAAAATAAAAAACAAATGTTGCTTGGGAACAAAAAGGAATCTATTTTCGTCCTTTACGTATAGTATTATTTATAGGGTAAACTATACCAGAGACCATTCAACTATAGCTCTTTCTCATTTTGAACATTGTTTTTGAATTTTTGTCAATCAGACCATTAACTCTGTTAACTCGACAGTCAACTGACACATTTCTTTAGTAACCTGTGTTACCAATTAATATTGAAATTGAATAATTTTTAAACCAATTAGGTGCACCGTTTTAAATGGAAAATAAATCCAATTTGAAGATGGCATTTCGAGGAATTGACCAATGTCCAAAGGCATCTCTAGCAACGGATCAACCACCGGTGTAAAGACTACATTTGTTATGTGATTTCAAAATATTTTATATATTGCGGTTTAGATTATTGCAAAAAAAAATGTTGACATATGTCACCACCTGATTGGTCAATGTATTATTTAATTAAAAATAAATTAAATTAAAAAATCTCCAATCAAGTGGTGACATTTGTCACTTCCTGATTAGAGAGTGAATTTTTTAAATTAAAACTAAATCGACATAATATATAAGTAATAGAGACTAAATGTTGAATTATATTAATTTTACTAACTGCTACGTCACCACTTTCGTTAGTTAACTGTTAACGGTTGGTGGCCTGATTGAATGCATTTAAATAGTTAGGTGACTTATTGACATGAATTCAAAAATAGTGGTCAAAATGAAAAGGGGCTATAGTTGGGTGGTCTCTAGTATAATTTACCCTTATTTATAAAGTAGATCAAGGGAGTAAAAGTTTAGATGTTTAGCTGTTTATATTTATTTGAGGATTATCGTCAAAGCAGTATTTTAATGTTATTGTTTCAAACTGAAATACAATATTATTTCAGTATGTGTATTTACATGACCATTATTAATATTATTGGCCTATAGAATTTTTTGACATTTAATTATTTTGGTTTAGAGATAATGATAAAAGAGAAAATAATCTCAGTGACCAAAAATGTCTTATAATATACGATTTTAACCAATTTTTTTTGGATTTGCCAAAATGACCAACTAAATCGCAATGCGATCGATAATTCGCAACGCAATCTCCGGTATCGCAAATCAGTTTCCAGATTCGCAACGCGAACTTCGACTATCGCATTGCGATTTACATATTCGCATTGCGATAGTCCAAGTTCGCGTTGCGATAGTCGAAGTTCGCGTTGCAATTTTCCAAATTCGCGTTGCGATTTATTCCAAATTTGTTGCGATAGTCTAAGTTCGTTGCGATAGTCGAAGTTCGCGTTGCGATTTATTCTAAATTCGTTGCGATAGTCCAAAATCGCAACGACAGGTGGTATTGCATTTGTTTCTTAAGAATTTTCTCTAAAAAGATAGTATTCGCGCGGACGTGTCAAAGACACGTATTACCACGACCACGACCACGACCCGAGACGAGACGGACGGCGGTGGCGGCGGCGCGCGAGAGTCCCCCTTGTTCTCTATCACTCAACAAGGAAGTGGGAAAGCCAAGCCTTAAATACCATTCCCAATAGTGTTTCCAATACTATGTGAGATTGAGCATTACTAACACTTGTTTCCAATACTATATGATTATTCAGGAAACAATTAACAATCATGCACCTTAAAACAACTAAATCAGCAACCAATTGCATTAGTATTATACGATTAAATATGTCATAATTAAAAGTCAATCTACAATCAATCACGATTATTGCAATTTTAAGCAAAACATTCAAAAAAAATTGCATCACTCGCGAGAATAAAAAAAATTGTTATCGTGTAATTACAATCAATTGAAAATAAATTAGAATTACATGAAAACTAAACGAACCACAAATACTTTTCATACAAATACTAAAGTCGTTAACTATAATTCACAAATAATATCACTATTTAAGGCTCAATCCCACATAGTATTGGGAACAAGTGTTGGTAATGCTCAATCCCACATAGTATTGGAAACACTATTGGGCATGGTATTTAAGGCTTGGCTTTCCCACTTTATTGTTGAGTGATAGAGCAAGGGGGACTCTCGCGCGCCGTCGTCTCGGGTCGGGTCGGGTCGGGTCGTGGTCGTGGTCGTGGTTGTGGTCGTGGTAATACGTGTCTTCGACACGTCCGCGCGAATACTATCTTTTTAGAGAAAATTCTTAAGAAACAAATGTAATACCACCAGTCGTTGCGAATTTGGACTACCGCAACGAATTTGGAATAAATCGCAACGCGAACTTAGACTATCGCAACGAACTTGGAATAAATCGCAACGCGAACTTCGACTATCGCAACGAACTTGGAATAAATCGCAACGCGAACTTCGACTATCGCAACGTGAATTTGGAATAAATCGCAACGAATTTGGAATAAATCGCAACGCGAACTTCGACTATCGCAATGCACTTTGAATAAATCGCAACACGAATTTGGAAAATCACATTGCGATAGTCGAAGTTCGCGTTGCGATAGTCGATGTTCGCGTTGCGAATCTGGAAACTGATTTACGATACCGGAGATCGCGTTG